TTGCTGACTCTAGCATGTTTATAGCTTGACCCTACAGCCACTAAGTAAACTACAGTATCTAGAAACTGATTAACATCAATGATAGATTTATTGCATAAGTGTTTTTAGTTATACAATCCTCTTTATATTCTTGTTTATTTCAATGTGACTTTTCAGCAACTTGATTCTAGTCTGTTTTAGTAGTTCGCTTTGGTAAATAGGATGATACTAAATGGGACCTAAGCAGAAACTTGAAAAAGCGCTTCCAAATTTTGCCCTTACCCTCTGTTGCTCTTGGAATGCAAATGGTGACATTAAAAAAAGCTGTGTATATATTAGGAGACTTGTGGTCCATTTGAACCATCACCCAAGGTGAAAACGAAGCGTATTAGAGTGGGACTCTGAGGTGGCCCACTAGGTGCTAGCCAACTCTGTTAGCTGGTACAAACAGGAAAGTCTAGATACAGATAGGAAAATTTGCAGAGGATGACTCTATATGTGAATACAGAATTTTCCAGAGATGACAAAAATAAATAAATAAAGGTTACTTGTTTAAAATAAATTTCCTTAAGTTAAAGAAAGAAAACTTGACTCAGTGATATTTGTCCTACATTCCTTCAAAAGGAATGACCCATTTTAACTTAATTTCACAAGAACTGGAGTTTAAATATAATAGCTACTTCATCTACTTCAAAAGGCTATTGAACAAATCAATTAAGGTAACATCAGACTATATTTTTGAAAAGTGAAAAAGGCTTTATAAACTGAAAGTTCCTTACAGAGTAAGATTGCTTTTCATAATTATATGATCGGTTCTTTGTCTCATTCATTTTAAAGACAATTAAGAGAAGTTCAGATAAAATAATAGAACTCATTCAATATTGCTTATCAGCCAAAAATTGTATGTGTCTAGCAGTAATTTAATTTCTTAAAAATTGGACTTTCAATGAATGAATGTGAATAAGAAATAGTTGTTTATCCAGGAGAAATAAAAAAGATACTCATGCCCAGCTATTTTGCAGTTGACATTTCTGGCAACAAAAGAAATCATTTCAGCATTTCAACACTATTGAGGCATATCTTCATGGTGAGCAGTGAGTCAGACAATGTTAGTTTAGTTTTATTTTATTTTTTAATTTTTAATTACATTTACTAGGTGACATTGGTTAATAGGATCATATAGGTTTCAAGTATACATTTCTATGATATAAAGTCTGCATATAGTTTAAGAGTCAGCTTTGATTTTATTCTGCTTAACAAGAACACTTCATTATCATAATTGGGCACTAAACACTAATCAGAACACTGATCAAACATACCCTTCTTCTGGCTAGAATAAACAAATCTGTTTCTTTTCCAATTAGTGTTTAGTTCCAATCCATTCTTCCTGCCTTGTAGATAAAAATTTTTAAAATACCAAGTCATAGAACTGCCTCCACTTTTACTTATTTATTTTTAAAAGACATTTATTTATTTGTTTGTTTGTTTGTTTATTTATTTTTAGAGAAGGGAAGGAGAAAGAGGAAACATCAGTTTGTGGTTGCATCTTGCACGCCCCCTGCTGGGGACCTGGCCTGCAACCGAGGCTTATGCTCTTCCCTGGGAATCAAAGTGTCCACCCTTTGCTTTGCAGAGGGGTGCTCAATCCACTGAGCCACACCAGCCAGGGCGCCTCCACTTTTAATATCATGCAGTCCAAAGCAAAATTATGAGTTCTCATGAGTCCTCAGACTCTTCTCCAGATCATTTAAACTCAAATCCATAACAAGCGCCTCCAGCCATGGTTAACACTGAGCACCACACAGTCCCACACTGGGTGTTTTCTCCCTTATTGACATGAGCCAATCAATCCAACTTTATTTGACTAAAGGTGTGTTCCTGCTGGTTTTAGTTGAAGGGTATCAACAATATCTTTAGAAATTTAACAGTTAAGGCTGACCATATCCATTATACATTTTTAAGCATTTTAACATCAGTAAGCAAAGTGGAGAGGACATTAAAAAGTAGGAAAACTGCAAATTAAAATAAATAAAAATTAGGACAGCTGAGCTTTCTGATAAAACTATCAAATCTAACGTCCTTGCATACAGAAAATGTTGATGAGGTGCTAAAATATGCTTTAGAACTTGATTGACTGATTTCCTGGCTTAAAATAAAAACACTGACATTTTAAAAACTCTGCAGAAGATACTTTGGAGTTATCAGTCATAACTCAGTTCTAGTCAACTACTTTAGGGAGTAGCTGGAAGCTTTTAGGTTCAATTTATCTCCTATTCTGTTTTCTTCTTCAATATATTCTGTGAATCATCAAATGTTTTACCAGCAGAATAAAATGGCATGGATTTTGTCCCTGTTCAAATAGACCAATTTATTTTTATTTTTAAAGAAAAAATCCATATTAGATAAATTTTACAGGTCTTAGATTTTACAGTAAATGTTCATGGTAGAAACATAGATATGACTATTCTAGACTTTGATGTGTAATTATATACAATACTCTCAATATTATTTTTTCCTAAGCACTCCAAAAAATAAAATTAGGGTGTTTTAGTATAAATTTGCTTTAATATATTTCTAACTTTAACAAAAAAGGAAAGTTTTCATAGAGTAATCTATATCCTCATTTTTATTTAGCTTAAAATTTATTGTAACATCTTTATAAATTTAACAAATACAATGATATTATATATTAATTAATTTTCTCATGATAAAATAGAGTCAGTTCTGCTATAATGTGACATGCATTCCTAAAGATGTCTTCCCTATACAAATCAATAATACAACTTTGGGAAGTGTAAGGAAAATGGAGTTAGGAGCACACCACTCAAAATCTTTGTAAGATATTTAAAAATAGATTAAAAACTAATAAACACAGCATAGTGTTACATATTCAATTGTTTAAAAATAAAAAAGCTCTACAATAAATATGACAGTTTCCAGGGAAATGACCAGAAATGGGTGTCAGAACAGTGGCAGGCTCGTGAACTTTTGGAAAGTGACGCGTGGGGGTTACTTGAAACAAGGAGAAACTCGTAAGGGCAGATGGTGGGTGCGTGAGGCTCGTCATATGCACGATGAACCGAGGCAGCTGGTGGGTGTTGAAGTGTATGCATACATGGCACACGTGTTTTATGCATTTCAATGCTATTGGGTTCTGATACGTATGATTTCTAATTTATTTAGTGTCTCTCGTGGGTGAAATCCTGCATAATCAAATATGAAATTCATGTAATGCTCTCATTGTTGCCTAATTTATTGGTCACATTGGAACAAATTTATGTTTTCATAACAGGACTTGAGGCAAAACGGACTGTAATACCTTTCTATTTGGACTTCAGATTTATAAGTTTTGAAAGCTCATGAAAATCCTCATCTTTGTGCTCATTCCCTCATTTTGCTTCCTAGTATGACTCATTCTACAACAGAAGAGCAATTTTGATCTTCCCTAAATTTTATTTAAGCTTTCGTGATATAACAGAGTTGGGTTCAGCAACAAAGCACTCCTGTGACTTGCCTTTCTCTGACCTTAAACCTCCTGCCTTGCTCCTGAATGCATGCTTTTGCCTGATATGCAGTTCTAGTAATTGGTTCCTTTCTCCATATTGGAACCACAGACAGAATCATAATGGCACTAAGGGTCAGTGTAGTCAGGAAACATCTTAGACAGATCATACAAAATTGTCTAGTGGCAGAAAAGAGGGGCACTGCCTCTGACTGAGATGGATGTGCATCTAAACTAATGTAGCAAACAGAAAGCTAGCTGTATGATGATTCCACTTATTTATCACCCACTAAAGATGGAATTTATGCAAAATGAAAATTACATAATTATTGCAGGAATGAAGTATTACAGATCAACTCTAGTAAAAGTCATTATCTTCATAAGTAATCAATTCTGTATGTTTTTCTGAGATTAATAGTTTAAAAAAAAGAATCATAGTAAGTATGTCAAAATGTTCAGTTATTACTTTCAGTTGATTTATTTGTTTAATTTTTTGGATTTTTCTAACTTATTAATTTTGGCTTCTTAGTTCATCCATCTCAGTTGTATCTTTCTAAAAAATTAAAAACTTTAAATATGTAAAGCTCATAATTGTGCATAGAGTACAATTTTGCCTAATCACTATTTTGAGTCCCTGGTTCCCTGCCAGTGTCTCACAACCAGAGCTCGGCACTGGCACCGCCAATTGCAGATAGAACACCATTGACAACGGCAGTAGAGTCGGCTGGGGAGAAGATGAGGTTGGCACTTACAGCCTTGGAATAAGAATCAAGAAGTGCCAATGTTACACTATTTAAGGTGGTTCTGCCATAATGCCACTGAGGAAAAACATCATAATCAAAAATGTTTTACATTACATTGCCATTACAATGATCTTCAATGGTTGAGGCCACTGTTTTAAGTATGGTAGTTTTAAAATTCAGGGCTTTTTTCATTTTAAACAAGAACTTTATTTAAACAACAAGATGCTGGACTGGAAGGGAGAGCTACCAAGGATTTGTTTCTTTTAGAGTAATTTATCCCTAGTTAAAGGCAGATTGCCCTACCTGTAACAGCTACGTACAAAAAAGTTATAAAATTGTCTTTAGCTTTAAAATGGTAAATGAAAAACATTAAAATTTTCCAATCAAACAAGGTATGCAAGGATTTTTATGTTCTTTTTTTGTTAAACAGCGAGAGCAACACAACCTCCTGGAATATAAAGGTAAGAGCTGAAGGAGAATGCCACTAATAGAGAAAGGGGGTATCTTCATGGAACCAGTGTTTTTCCCCATCCCATCTCCTTTTAATGTCTATCAAGACATACCATTGTCCATTTAGTTAAAAAATGCAAATGCTTATGCACACACATCAGTTACTTTAGGTACAATAAGGGAACAGGGAAAGGGAAAATGGAGGAACAGAGAAAATGATACTGTAGTAGTCAGGATGTGGTAGAACCAAACTGCAGTTTTCTGACTGAGAATGTCCCCTTGGTCTGGAGGAACAGAGTTCTGGAGTAACGCAGCAGGTTCCCTTCTTAGGAGACGCCTCCCGTCCGCTGCTGGAGCGCGTTGGTTGTATCTTCATCCTCCAGTTCTGCCTGTGCAGGTGTCTGTTTCACTGATTGGCTGCCCATCAAATCAGAATCTGATCTGCCTCACTGACAAACCCTGTCCTTCCCAATAGGCTTTCATTAGTTTATTAAGAGGTATATGCCTCTTAATCTTAAACTGCACCACAGAATTATCCTGCCCTGCCGCCTTCAAATTAATATTATCGTTGTTCTCAGTCTTGACCCCTTCCTTGGGCTTTTCGTTGGCCATGGTGAGCACGGGAGTCTCCTCAGCTGCCCCTTCACAAAAGAGGTACCATGTCTGCACCGAAGGAGACTAAAATTCATTTTTAATTTCATAAATATTTGCTACATTATATAACCTTGATCATTCCCTTCTTATTAGCTATAGTTTCCTTACAGTTTATATTGCACATACTCATACTGAATTTATTTTGACTCATGTTAAAAGCTTTAAAATCTCTCAATTTGAGTTCTGCAGATAGTGGTATGTATGCTAACTGGATTTCATTAAGACATGATATTGAAATTCAAATTTTTATCTTTTTCAACTTAACCCGATGTCTCATCATAGCATCTCTCTTGATACTACCATAAACTTTGAAAATGAAAAGGTTTTTTTGCATGATGCTGAATATCACTCTCAAAAACTTTTTGAGGGTTCAATAAATTATGTTACAAAATGTTCATTAGAAATGTGTCAAGGGAATCAAAAGAACAACTTTATTTCTACAGTAAGGATCAAATCAGTACCTTCCCCTAGAAAACTGCTATTGATTTGTGCTTCATTTTTCATGTCTCCAATCAGATGATCTATGAGTGATATGCCATGGGGCAGCCTACAATAAAATACATGAGCAAAAGGCATTTTGCATGTACTTTGAAAACCCAAAGCTCTTGAGAAAATTTTAGATTCATAATACTTCAGCTATAATGAGATTTCACAAAAGAAAAATAATCCTTTTACAACTTTGTATTCTTTAAAAATACTAGAGGGAAACAAGAATTTCATGAAACAAGTTAAGAAATGACAAATGATTAATCTTGATGATTTCTTTAAGTGACTATGATGAATAACTGCAAGTGAGAGAATATACTGCAACTAAGGTTTTAGGAAAGTGAAGGATAAAGGAAGCACTCAAGGAATCAAATAGCATATAGAGGCCATCTGGACTATCTTCTCATGAACAGTACATTTTAATTTAAAATTAGAACTGCAAGGAGAAATCTAAGACATTTTACCCATCAAATTTAAAGAAAAAAATAAGTAGGTCTCAAAAAAAAAACACTCCACATTTCCCTATGAGATAGAAAAAAATAAACTGAAAAATAGAAAAAGGTTGGAAAAAACCCGGACAAAAATCATTGAAATGAAATAAATTAATATGTCAGGCTGTGTTAATTTGTTTGAATTCAGTTTACTTGCTCAATTTGGCTGTCTTTGTATGAAAGGGCTAACCACAGTAACTAGTATTTCTAAAGAATGTTTTATAGCAAAATTGGTTAATGGAGTAGGAGTTTGAAACCATTTTTGGAAGCTCACTGCTCAATATTTTCAAAAGACTGAATGTTTCAATTTCAACCCAGTTTTTGGTAATATGAGAATTTCATGAACAATTTTCCCCTTGGGAAAAATTAACAACCCCATACAACTAAGAAAGAAATTATTATGTGATGCAGTGATCATGATATTACATGTCAATTTTATGAAAATTGTCAGTTTGATTCCAACAGTCAGAATGGATGCTACTGTGAATAAGGTTTCTTGGTCTGTTCTCCATTGTTTTTGCTGGAATGAGCATCAACAGCACCTCTTACATAGAGGCTGTATGATTTTTGACTGAATGTGCACATAAATTGGCACATAATTTTAATTGTCATTAAATTGACAGTATAACAACGATCTGTTGTTTATATGGCTAGGTTATTAAAAGGTATGACTGTGGCTCTGGTCAAATTACATGTCACCCACCTTCTCCTTTAAACTATGTTAACAATAGTGATAAATACAAAAAAAAAAAAGCATTAGTAATCAATGTTGGAACATTAAGGTCCATTCTGTGTTTCTTATTTCTGTATTTAAAAAATGTGTTTAAGGTCAATATAGTGGCTCTTAGGCTTTGGAGCTAGACTACCAGGTGTTAAATATTGACTTTGTGGGCAAGTCATGAAACTGCTCTGTGCCTCAGTTTCCTTATTGGTAAATTGGTGTTGGTGTAAGGATGAAATATTTTCATTTATATAAAGTATTTAGAACAATATTTGACCTTAATTCATCCCTTAACAAGTACTAGTTATTATAAACATGATTAATAAGAGATTTTTAAAAAGCACTACTTTGGGAAAGGCGCACTGTATGTTAACAGCATGAGACTCACTCAATAAAGGTCGTGTTTTTGCATGGGATTAATTCACATTGCAAGTATTAAAAAAGATATAACACCAAGAGTAAAATGATTTTGTCTTTCTGATTGCCAGTATTACTAAGCACATATACACAATAGTTTCAAAAAATACTAGCTTGCATTCTGTGGGACAATTCTAAATTCTTTAAAATGGGCAATTTCAAAATTGTTTCTATAAGAAGTATGGCTGCCTTGGTAAGAAAGAGGCAGTTCATATCTTATATGCACTATTCCAAGGTAAAAGAAATTAACTCTTTATTTTTTTATTTTTATTTTTTATTGTTCAAATCCATTTGTCTCCATCTTCCCGCCACCACTTTCCCCTGCCCCACCCTCCCCCACCTCCCTCCCTCAATCCTTCCCCACTTTGGCTTTGTCCATGGGTCCTTTATACATGTTCTTTGATTTGACCCTTCCCCATCCTTTCTCCATTACCCACCTCCCTCCTTTCCTCACACCATGATCAGTTTCTTTTTTTTTTTTTTTAGTGCTGCTGGTTATATTTTCCTTGCTTGTCTGTTTTGTTGATTAGGTTCTACTTACAGGTGAGATCATATGGCATTTGTTTTTCATCCCCTGGCTTATTTCACTTAGTATAATGCTTTCCAGTCCCATCCATGCCTTCGTGAAGGGTAGCAGGTCTTTCTTTCTGCTGAGTAGTATTTCACTGTGTGAATGTACCATAGTTTTTTGATCCACTCATTTACTGATGGGCACTCAGGCTGCTTCCTGCACTTGGCTATTGGAAATTGTGCTGCTCTGAACATTGGGATGCATAGATTCTTCTGAATTGGTGTTCTGAGATTCTTAGGGTATAATCCCAGCAGTGGAATCACTGAGTCAAAAGGCAGTTCCATTTTTAGCTTTTTGAGGAAATTCCAAACTGTTTACCACAGTGGCCGCGCCAGTCTGCATTCCTACCAACAGTGCACTAGGGTTCCCTTTTCTCCACAACCTCGCCAGCCCTGTTGTTTGTTGATTTGTTTATAATTACCATTTTGATTGGTGTGAAGTGATATCACATTGTGGTGGAAAAAAATCTTTCCTCTGGTTGCTTGCATACAGGTGACCCCTGCATGTAGCCTCTGGCAGAGGACTGGAAGGACTCTCCAGCTTGTCCCAGGTTGCATCAAAGACTGGAGCTGCCAGGATGTTTATGCATGTCTCTGTCACTCGAAGCTGCCCCTTTAATCTAGGCCAGCTTCATACTGGGGGAGAAAGTGGCCTCTATGCAATACCATTGGAAGAACAGTTGAAACCTTGAATCAAAATAGATAAGATCTCATTGGATTTTTTACAATAAAAATAGATTTGAACATTGAAAAGTTCAAGCCTGGTGAAATACAGGCAGAACTTCTCAATGTTACATAAGAAATATGGCCACTTTGATTAAAAAAAAAATCTCATTTTGAAACAAAATGCTCTGATTATGATGCTAGTCAGAGAAGCCACGGGGTGGTTTTGGCTCCCAGCTCTATGCATTCATGGCCCAGAAATTGTTCCCAGGAATAAAGCTGGAACAGTGATTTGATGAACCCCATCTGTTTCTCTCCTGTTAGGGACCACAACCATGTACTTTCTTTGGCCAACATCTAACAACAGTGATTTTACATGTTTACCAGTGTTCTGTTTATATTGGCAGGTGAAGCTCAGTGAGTATAGCCCCACCGTGGCCAGAAGTAGAAATCCGAATTAAAAAAAAAAAAAAAAAGGAACGTGAAACAATTTAAACAAAACAAACAAAACTCAAGATAAAAAAAGTATATCAAACATAAAAGTGTCAGCTATACACTAAAAAGTATATTTCTCCATCTCTCTACTCAACTGTACATTTTAGGCAGCATCTATCATTGAAAGAAATTCATAGAAAAGAGCATATTGTAGGTCAGAACATTTGAAGAGCAAAGATGATATAAGTACATGAGTCAGGAACCTATAAATGGTACTACTTTTGGAGAATAAGACCCAAAGTAAACCATTTTTCCTCTTACAGTTTTTATATAATTCTAATATAATTATATAAAAAGTTAAAGTTTACTTTGCATTATACTCTGTATGTTTTATTTCACTACATGTGCAAATGTTTTCATCCCAACTGGATTTTTAAAACTGTTCCTGATATACTAATCTAATAGGATCAAATTAATTTTAAAATGTGCATGCCATATTTTTTACCATTGAACATAATAGTAGCAAAAAGGGATTTAGCCTATTTGCCACTTTTCAGAAATTTGATCATTTCTTATTTCTCCAAAAATAATGGGCCACATGTATTACACACCTAAAATAAGAATGATATTAAGAAATATACATTATCTTTCTGGAAACCAAGGAAGATAAATGTAATTTTGTTTTTTAATTTAAATTTGATCTGATGTAAAATTAGTTCCAAATTCATTTGTCTAGAAGTGATAATACATAAATAATAAAAAGTCTGAAGTAGAGCAATAGCATCAGGATGCGACAGGGTTGATGCACATATTAGCCATAAAATACTTGTGCTCAAGATGTAATTGAATGGTGAAGTCCAGCGAGAGACCCAGTAGAGTGTAGCAGTTACAATCAGAGGCTGGAGTGTCGAATAAAGTCGGGTTACAATTTCAGCTTTGCTACTTAACAACTATGAAACCATGGGCAATTGGTTTAACCTCATTCATACTCTTTGTCCTATTTTGTGGGAGAAAAAATCGTTGTGATTATGAAATGAGGTAATGTTCCCAAAGCAGGTAATGATGCCTGGCTCACAACGAGTGTTTAATAAAAGGTTTATATTACATTTAAGAATGATTATGATGAAGGTAGTGTGTTGGTGGTGGTGATTAGAAAATAGCTGAAGGCTTTCAGC